AGATTTGTCTGAGACAGAGTATTACTAAATGTGGAACTCATAGATTAAGCCAGACTATTTCAGAGCACAGAGTAAAGAGACAGAAGACAGAAAGAGCCCTGAGTCTGACCTCAACAGATAAAACTATATTTCCAATAGTGAAGGTCAGACACTACATTGGAGAGTCTATGAGAACTGCTACAGTCTTTCCTTCCTGGAATTGTTTGCTCAAGCAAGACAAATTGTCTTTGGAGACAGGTTGTTTCAGCAAACATCCCTCTCTAGTTAGTGGCTAAGCAGTAACTGTTGAGCAAAGTCAGCTGGACTTCCATAGGACCCTACTTTTACAACCTAGACTTTCTATCACTGGCTATCTACACAGCTCCGGGGATCCTCCTGTGTCCACATCCTCAGTGTACCGGGATTGTATGGTGCCCAAGTTTGTTTCTCTGTTGCTTTGTGTAAAACATTGACCAAAAACAACTTAGAGAGAAAAGGGTTTATTTCAGCTTACAACTCTACGTCATAGTTCATAATTGAATTCCAAACAGGAATTTAAAGAAGGAACTGAAGCAGGAACCACAAATGATACTTACTGGCTTGCTTTCTACAAGGCCCACCTGTCCAGAGGTGGCACCATCCACAGCAGGCTAGGCCCTCCCACATAAATCATTAATCAATAAAATGTCCCACAGATGCACAGCTACAGCCAATCTGATGGAGGCAGTTCCTTGATTGTGGCTCCTTCTTCCCAGGTGAATCTGTGTCAGGCTGACAAAAACTACCCAGCACACAGCAAGCTCTTTACCCAACAAGCCATCTTCCCAGCTCCTTTTAAAGGAAACATGGCCTTATTTTTACCAATTTATGTGATTTTACTTTGTTATGTATTTTTTCAGACAATATCATAAACATTTCTTTTTCTGGTACCAAGCCTATTGTTTTGTAGCCAGGACTCAAGTACAATTATTGAGCTGAATAAGATTGTGGTGGCGCATGCCTTTAATCCCAGCAACCGGGAGGCAGAGGCTGGGGGGGGTCTGTGAGTTCGAGGCCAGTCTGGTCTCCAGAGAGAGTGCCAGGATAGGCTCCAAAGCTACACAGAGAAAAACAAAAAAAAAAAAAAAAAAAAGTTAAAAACAAGAAAATCAATAGCAAATAATAGTATGTTCATAAGCACTGTAACTGTGGTAGCTAGTTTGATATCAATTTGACACAAACTACTATCATCTGAGACAGAGGGAGCCTCAATTAAGAAAATGCCTCCAGAAGATCAGGCTGTAGACAAGCCTGTAGAGCATTTTCTTAATTAGAGATTGATGTGGGGAGGCCCAACCCATTGTACTTGGGAATACCACTGGGCGGTGGGCCTGGGTTTTATAAGCAAGCAAGCAGAGAAAGCCAGTTAAGCAGCACTCCTCCATGGCATCTGCATCAGTTTCTGTCTTGCTTGAGCTCCTGTCCTGATTTCCTTCAGTGATGAACAGTTATGTGGAATGCTAAGTCAGAGGCCCCTTTCTCCCCAGTTTGGTTTTGGTCATGGTATTTCATTACAGCCATTGAAACCCTAAGTAAGACAGGAGGTGACTACAACTATTAAGGAAACTGTGTTACTGGTACAAATCAAAGCAGTTAACAACGTGTGTGTGTGTGTGTGTGTGCGCGTGTGCGTGCGTGCGTGCGCACTGTGGGCTGGAGATGGCTTAGCCCTTTAGAGCACTGCTGCTCTTCAGAGGATCCAAGCTTGGGTTCCCAACACACACTTAGTAGATTGGCTGAGATCTGGCTATAATGTAACTCCAGGTCCAGAGGATCCAGTGCCCTCTTCTGAACTCTGTCGGCACCAGGCTTGCAGGTAGTGCACATACACACATGCAGGCAAAACAGTCATATACATAAAATAAATCTTAAAAAAAAATAAATAAATGGGGTTGGCTAATACCAACAGTTTTTAAAACACAGAAGTAGGTGAGAATTCAGACGACCAAGCAGATACCAAGGATTTAGAAGATGAAGCTAAGCACCAGGACTTGGAGACTCCTATTTTAAGGCATTACTTGTTGCTTGCAAAGTCATTTAAAAAGCTCTTGCTAAGGTATCCCTGAGCCTCACTCACTCCCACAACCTGCTCTCTCCGCCCCACCAGAAACGGAGGGGGGGCGGGTGGAAAATAACCGGAAGGGGCGGGGCCTACAGAGCGCCTTGGGGTTGCGGCAAACTCCGCACTGCCTTTCCGCGCAACGCTCCGGAGTGCAAACTGCTCGTGAAGCATGGCGGGCGGCCTAGGCCCGAGGCCCGGGGCTGCGGAACCCGGCCGGTCCTCGGGTACTTCCAGGTGCGAATCCCTGTGTGCCCACCCCGTCGGGGCGAGGCGGGGCGCCCAAGTGGCGGCGCCGGTCCCTTGCCGGGTACGGTGGGCCGCATGGCCTGGTCGGCGCAGCCCGTTGGGTGCCCGCGCGTTCGTGCTTTTAAGTAATCTGCAAATCTTAGCTGAACTCGCTAGGTGGACAACAGCGTCTGGCGGCCCCTAGTTAAAAGGCCTGCGCCTCAGGACACTTCCAAGTGCGGGGAGGAGCGGCTGCTTTTGGCGGGGGGTTTGGCTGGGCCTGCACCGTGGCTGGTGCCCCTTTTGTGTCCCCAAGAAACGCCACCGTGCAACCTGTTTCAGGCTTCTTAGTGGGTGGCCTGTTTTCCTGTAGGACAGTTTTTATAGAGCTGTGGAATATTGCTTCTTAGAGAATAAGACCGTCAATTTTAGATCTTGTAAGTGCGCTCTAAAAGAGGTTTTGAAGTTGTAACAATATTTGAATTTTGAAAGCCCACAGTGTGGGGATGCTGGCTATAAGAAATAGTGATTAAGTTCTGAAGTATGAAGAATACGACGCAACATTTCAGAACTAGCATAGTGAGTGCACTTTCCTGTTAGCATTAATAAACCAAGTTAGGTACTCTGGCTTCCTATTCACTCAAGCATTTCAAGACAAGAAAGTGATCCAAGTTTCTAGTCTTAATTTTACAGGTCTTCATAAGTCATCTCCAGTAACTGGTTCAGTGAGTTAGTGTCTTGGACTTCTGTAGACCATTTGTGACCCTTGCTCTACTCTTTGGTGTTGTAGTGTGAGGTGTGGTTTACACAACTGTAATTATCTAGCTTTTCACCTGTAAGCCCTGAGACTAATGAGCAAGGGCCTGGGGCTTAGTGAATCCTTGTCTTAAGCCACTACTGCCACACTAAGGGTGTGAATAAAATGTTGTGTCCATGACTGATGACAGCTGAGTTTCTTAACCCAGGACTGGCAGCTCAAAGGTGTCCCCATCCATAACAGGCTGCCCTCCCCACTCCCCATTACCTAGTTGAGAAAATGCCCTACAGGCTTCAAATGAGTTAACAATCAAATGTTTAATTTTTAGGTGCAGCAAAACCTGTTTCTTGTGAAGATGCCTGAACAAATGTTTTCCAAATAAAGGAATGTGATTTAAACAAGCCACCAGGACTACAGTTGCTAGCAACAAGGTACAATACTAAGGTGTGTGTGGGTTTTTTCTTTGTGGTTTTGTGTATTCAACACAGGATCTGTGGCTTAATAGCTGGCACTATGATGATTTGTCTGCCGTTTACCCAACTGAGGGTTTCTTTGAAGAGGTAATCTTAAGACTGAGATGCCAGCAATGTATCGATTATATGTGAATTCTTGAGATGTGATGAAATTGTTTTTGAAATGTGTACTTTTTTTTTTTTTTTTAATCCAGCATGTAGGTCGCTGCCCCTTCAGTAGCTGTGATGTTTACAAACACTTCAATGTTTTGGGTAAGTTTGCTCAGTCACATCTTTTGATTGAACAGTATATGATACCACCCGGACTGGGGCCAATTCCTTTTGAAATGTCTATTGGTATTCTTTTTAAAGTCGTTAAGATGAATGCCTGGGGTTCTGACTGTCCCTTTCTTTTTCTTTCGGGAAGGTGCAGCACACATGTTGGATGTAAAATGAAGAATTGGTCAAGAAACCATGAACAGAAGCAAATGATGAGAATTAGTATTTTATTTGATACTAATAAATAATAAATTATGTAGAATTTTAATTGCAGTGGGCAGTAATTTATTAGCAAGCGCAAGCTGGTGTGTTTGTAGGTAAAGTGTTGGTTTCTGGTGGCTGACATGGATGGAACTTTTTTTCACAATGCCGTGTTCTCTGCTGTACACTGGTGTAAACTAGTACTGAAATACAAAATTTTGTTGTTGGTTTTAGATACTTAGATTATTTGTGTATTTGATAATTATGGAGGAGCCACATTTCACTCTGAATGGCATTCTAATAGATAGCTTGAGACAGTACATATCTGAAGCATCACTTCATAATCCCTCATACATTAACCAAGGCTTGTAGAGGTGTGGAAAGTAATTCTTTGCTCAGATTGATTATTCATCACTAGAAAAGAGAGTTGTCCCAGGTCCACATGTGGCAATAAACTGTTGAAGCTGCTCTTGGCACTGAGTCAGGTAGAGATCTCTTTGCTCTAAATATTCTTCATTGTACAGTTCAAATGGAAATAGTGCATTGGGAGCAACACAAAATGCTGTGGCCCCTAAATGAAGAACAGAATAACAGTGTAAATGAGACTTACAAACTAAAACTGGAAATGTCTGAACAAAAATAAAGGTTTAAAAGTTCTGAACTGTTGAATCTGACTCTTTTGAGTTTAAATTTTATTTTTGGTCTTGAGGCAGTCTCTTACAATATAGCTGGCTTGTCTTTACCTCTTAGTTCTGTGATTAAAGGTGGAACTGGCTGACTTAAATATAAAAGAATCTTTAGTATGCATCACTCAACTTGGTTCTGGATCATTCCCCATGTCCTCTGTATTATGGAATCCTCACCTCCTGGGACTTAACCTCTGATCACTCCCCACCATTTGGTTGGTCTTACACTCATCCACAGGCTGCTCTCCACTACAAGCCTATGACGGCATGCACAGTGGTAATGACTTTGTGTACTATTTTTGGTTTGCTGTGTATCAAATACTTTAGAATTATATTTTAAAAAGCCCCTTCCTGCATCATACATCCTCTCCAACTAGTGCCCCCATTTTGTTCCTTATCTCCAACATTCAGTTATCTGTGTGGGCTGTCTCCATAGCCACACATCCACTCCTATTCCAGCTCCAAACAGCTCTGATCATGGGCATTACAGCCTCTGGTTTAGCAGATGCAATCATAAATCTCAATAGCATGTGTCCAGTGACCACTCAGTTTGAAAACCTTTTCTTGGCATCTAGAATACCAGTTTTCTTCAGTACATTTCTAAACACTGGAATTCTTACATGGCAGTAATGAAATTTCATCCCCTTGACTTTGAATACTATCTCTGTTATCCTAATCTTTCTTGATTAGAACTTGCCTAAGATCCAGATTTTTCTGAGTATGTGCATGTATCGTGGGTGAGTGTACAAATCAGAGGACGGCTTGAGGAAGTAGGTTTATCTTCTACTCTGATTCACTGTTTGCAGTACATGACTACCCACTGAATCATCTTTTCATCCTAAAATTGTTTTGTCTATTGGGATTGGTAGAATTTTATTTTTCTCATTGTTTCTAGTCTTGGTAAAGAGCAATATAATTTCCCATTAGGTAGGGACCCTGAACACTTACCACTATTTCCTCCATCCTGCACCCAGGTCCTAATCTAGTTGATTGCAAAGTCTATAGGATTTTGCATCCAAGGTCTATCTCTCACTAATTTCAATTTCTACTCTTCATCCAGTCAAAGCTTCCATTACAATTGCATAGAGTGTGACAACACAGTCCACACAATTTCTACCGTTCACATCATTAATCCCAGCATTCAGGAAGAAGAGGCAGGTGGATCTCTGAGTGAGGCCATCCTGGTCTACAAAGTAGGTTCCAGGACAGCCAAGGCTACATAGAAACCCTGTCTCAACAACAAAGATTCACCACAGACAATTACATTTCAAAATATAATTGATAGTTGGTCTTTTTTTTTTTTAAGATTTATTTATTATGTACAGTGTTCTGCCTGCATGCCAGAAGAGGACACTATATGTCATAATAGATGGTTGTGAGACACCATGTGGTTGCTGGGGATTGAGTTCAGATCCTGTGGAAGAGCAGCCAGTGTTCTCAACCTCTGAACCATTTTCCCTCACCCCCTAATATTTGGTCTCTTAAAACAGTGAGTTTCTTCTCATTTGTTCTAGGACCAGAACCCTAGCTACCATATTGAGGCTTGCAGGCCTGGCCCTATTTTCCCTTATAACTTGACTGGTCTTTGCTTGATTGGCAATGTTTTAGTCACCCTGGATCTCTCTGAATTAATTGTAGTGCCCTCTACCTGGATATTTCATCCTTGAGGTAAAATAACTTCCTTATAGAGGCCTCCTTACTTTTCTTAACTCGTGAAGTCTTATATTCTCAATAGCAGTTATCTCATTTGTGTTAAATTCAGCTGACCACCTCCCCACACACATGACTGACAGTGTCCAGTTTCAAGGACACAGAAGCTGGGCCCTAACACCATCTTTCTCTTTTAGACTTTCTATTTTCAATTTTTTGTCCTTTGTCTTTCCCTTTTTTTTTTGTATACTTTGAGCAGTATCTTTTACTTGATATTTTATATTTTTATTTCTCCATCTAATATTTTATGTACTTGTTGTCCATTTGGCAATTTATACTTTTTCCTATATTCTTTGTTTCCCTTCTCTCTACTATGATTTGTTGTATTTGAACTTTATCTGATTTTTAAAATAAGACTCAATATTTTAGTTTTTATTTTCCATCTTACATTTTTAAAGTTTGCTTTGAACTGTCACAATTGGAAAATCTTTTACCCTTTTTACAATAACCTCTTGGTCTTTTAACTTCTCCATTACATTCACCAGTCCCCTTTTCCCTTATATTTATTTGATCTTGCTTGTCCTTTGTTTTTCCTTTGCTTGCCTCCTACTCTTCTCTCCCTCTTTGCTCTTTACTATTTTGGGGAAAGAAGCAGTGTGAGGACAGGGTATTGGGAGGGCTCTAGGGGAAGGGACTTAGTAATGACAGTAAGAAAGTATAATGACATTTGTATGAAAATACCTAAAGGAACCTTATCACTAATAAAGTAATACTGTTGCATGAGTAATAAATGAAAGCCACATGAAATATTGCCACATGATATTTAGGGAGCTTTTAAACACTGTTTTAATTAAGAGTTAAAAATCACCAACACCTAACTGAAATTCATCAACTAAAGGGATTAAAGAAGACATCTCTTTTTACTTCCCTTAAATGCTTTCTTAAATGTGTCAACATAGTTGAAACATAGTTATATTCTACCACAAGGATACTCACTATCACAAAATCTCAATATACTTAACAGTTATATAAAATTAGCAACACCCTCCTTCCTTTATTTATTTTTTTTTTTTAAAGACAAGTTTTCTTCGTGTAGTCCTAGCTGTCCTGGAACTCACTCTGTTGATCAGGCTGCCCTTGAACTTAGAGATCAGGTCCCTGCCTCTGCCTCCTGAGCGCTAGGATTAAAGGTGTATGCCACCATCACCTGGCTGGCAGCACATTTCTTTATGGCATATAAAATGATGTATCTGATTTGAAAAATACGGCCTTAAAATAAGACAAATAAAAATATATATCCCTACTATTTAGTATTTGTTGGAACCAGTGTTTCATCTAAACTACTTCAGGATGACAATCTTTTCTACTACTAATCATTAACTCTATAACCTACTCCATGAAGTTTACAATCTATCTCCTTTGTAAAGGACACACAAATTTGTAGATAATGATTTATAAGTCTTGTGGGCTTGAAGTATTCATGGATCATAGGTTAAATGCTTGGCTTAGTCTGGGGGCTGAAGGAAATCACTCAGTGGTTAGGAATGCTTGTAGAGGTTAAGGATGCTTGCAGGGTTAGGAATGCTTGCAGAGGTTAGGGATGCCTGCAGTGTTAGGAATACTTACAGTTAGGAATGCTTGCAGTGATTAGGAATGCTTGCAGTGGTTAGGAATGTTTGCAGAGGTTAGGAATGCTTACAGTATGGGATGCTTGCAGAGTTAGGAATACTTACAGTTAGGAATGCTTGTAGTGGTTAGGAATGCTTGCAGTGCTAGGGAATGCTTGCAGAGGTTAAGAATGCTTACAGTTAGGGATGCTTGCAGTGTTAGGAATGCTTGCTACTTTTCAGCACTGTGGTGGCTGAGGCTTGAAGATGGAAAGTTAAAGGTGACCTGGACCCTGTGGTGGGGCTTAGTCTCACAAATCACTTAATAGGAATCATAATAAGGTCTTTATTATCAGATGACACTGCCACCTGGCATGATGGCACACAGCTGGAGTCCCAGGACTTAGAGGCTGAGGTGGTATGATTTTGAGATCACAGCCAGCCTGGACTATATGGTGAGACTCTGTCTTGAACAAACAAAAATATATTCTATAAACACTAAGTGTTTGAATTCAAGTAAGCCATATCTAATAACAATAAGGATTTGTTACTTTGAGTATTTAAATGCAGGTAATAATTTAATAAGCTAGGAATATTTAGGAATCATTAGTGAATTACCATATTTCAGTGTGAGAGAGATTTCAAACAGTAAGGCTGCAATTAGCACGTCTTCTTTGAGCACTTTATTCCTTAAGTTCAGTCGAGCATGAGCTTCAGATAGAGAAACTCTAAAAAGGAAAACAGGTTAATAAAAACATGTCAATACTACAAAAAAATCACACATTTAAACAGGAACAGAACAAGACATGACATGAGCCACGTGTTAGAGGTCAGCATACTGGTTTTTGTTTGTTTGTTCCCTTTAAGCTATTTCTTTGCCACCAACTTAAATAAATTGTGCCAGAAGAAGCAAGTTAAAAAAAAAAAAATTGGCTTCCACTTAGCATTCCACATCCCCTGCCCCAAGTTCTGCTTCAATCAATATACAGTAGGGGGAATAAGCCTAACTAATATCTCTCATATATGTATAGATGTATAGCTATATAACTGCTTGGTGCTTCCATCAGCTCCTCATCTATCTAAAGTCCCCATGGAATCATACAGTTCAAAGTTCTTGTCACGGAAGCGAATTCTAGCCATGGCATCCTGAACTACTCATTACCTTTAAACAAACACTTCTGTTCACTACTTCCCGAATGACTGACTTCTTTAAACATGTAAACTGCTTTCCTTGCCTGAGATACCTCCTTTTAGTTTCATCAGACAGGTATGAGGTACAAGAAACTGAAGTTGAGTCTGTAGAATTTACTGACTGGATGACTTTGGCACATATTAACTTTGAATGTGTGAACAAAATGAGACTACTAAGTAAGATAAAAATTTCTGTAACCTACAAAGTTTATATAAATCTGGGCTGAAATTAGTGTTGTAGTTTCCACCAACTGATCTCTAGTTCTCTGCTGGAACTAGAGACCAAAATGTGACAACTCCCTCTCCTCTCCTCTCCTCTCCTCTCCTCTCCTCTCCTCTCCTCTCCTCTCCTCTCCTCTCCTCTCCTCTCCTCTCCTCTCCTCTCCTCTCCTCTCCTCTCCTCTCCTCTCCTCTCCTCTCCTCTCCTCTCCTCTCCTCTCCTCTCCTCTCCTCTCCTCTCCTCTCCTCTCCTCAAAAAAATGTGACAACTCTTCAGATAGCTCAGTTAACATTTACAGTTGCCCCGTGGTTTCTGTTTTCCAAGGTAAATATTTCGGTACCTGTAGTGGCATGAGGGCTAGTGTTGTGCCTCAAAGGTATGCAGCA